GCCACCTGGACTACTTCCTCTGTAAAGCTCTGGAGGACCTGCTATGCTCACAGGCTCCTTAAGCAGATCACCACGTTTCTATCTCAGGGAAGGGACCCACCACCCTGTGATCATACCTGAGTAAGGTGAATGTGTGAAACCAAGACAAAAGTCTAGAACATAGACAGTTGACTCAGAGATAACCAGAACTCCCCTAAAGGCAGGAATCTTGCCAGGAATGACAGGAGCATTATATGTCATTAAAAGCAAAGAGCTACTGTACTAGTTCACCTGCTTATTTAACTTGCATGCAGAGTACATAATGCAAAATGCCAGGCTGGATGAATCACAAGCTGGAATCAAGACTGCCAGGAGAAATATCAACAACCTGAGACCTGCAGATGACACCACTGCAGAAAATGAAGAGGAACTAGAGAGCCTCTTGATAAGGTAAGAGGAGTGTGAAAAAGCTGGCTTAAAACTCAACATTCAAAACATGAAGATCATGGCATCCAGTCCCATCACTTCATGGCAAATAGATCGGGAAAAAGCGAAAACAGTGACAGACTTTTCTTTTCTTGGGTTCCAAAATAACTGTGGATGATGACTGCAGCCACGAAATTACAAGACTCTTGCTTTTGGAAGAAAAGCTATGACAAACCTAGACAGCCTATTAAAAAGCAGAGACATCACTTTGCCAACAAAGGTCCATCTAGTCAAAGCTATGGTTTTTCCAGTAGGCATGTATGGATGTGACAGCTGGACCATAAAGAAGGCGGAGAGCCAGAGAACTGATGCTTTCGAACCGTGGTGCTGGAGAAGGCTCTTTGAGAGTCCCTTGGACTGTGAGGAGAGCAAACCAGTCAATCCTAAAGGAAATCAACCCTGAATATTCATTGGAAGGACTGATGCTGAAGCTGAAGCTCCAATACTTTGGCCTCCTGATGTGAAGAGCTGACTCACTGGAAAAGACCCTGATGCTGGGAAAGATTGAAGGCAAAAGGAGAAGAGGGCAACAGAGGATGAGATGGCGTCACTGACTCAATGGAAGTGAATTTGTGCAAACTTCAGGTAACGGTGGAGGACAGGGAAGGCTGGAACGTTGCAGTTCATGGGGTCGAAAAGAGCTAGACACAACTTAGTGACTGAACAACAATAACTAGCTCACCACCAGCGAAGAGTCAGAGCTGAAGATGCCCCACAACTGCACTCAATCCTGAAGTGAAGAGAAAGTCACTCAGTCGCGTCCGAGTCTTTGCGACCCCATGGACTAGACAGTCTATGGATTCTCCAGGCCAGAATACTGGAGTGGGTAGCCTTTCCCTTCTCCAGGGGATCTGCCCAACCCAGGGACTGAACCTGGGTCTCCCACACTGCAGGCGGGCTCCTTACCAGCTGGGCCACAAGGGAAGCCCGCACGACCCTGAAACAACCCCTAATTCCTGAGTGACACCCCATCTCCATGTCCGACTGCGAGGTGAGTGGATGATGATTTTTCTTCGCTCTGCAGCCTTTGTGATGGAACGGAAACGTATTAATCTTTCTAAACAAGGCAACAGAACACATCCCTTACAACCTGAAAACTACAACTACCACACTTGGGGGATTTTTAAAAACGGATTAAAATGATGAATTGGAGGTTAACTGTGAAAAATCAGATAATCAGGATCATTTTTTTCTCTGCACATACTAAAAAGAGATGTGCTGTGTAAACAGCAGGGCACTGCTAGAGCACACAAGGCACCATGAGATGCGGCCTGGTCACATAAACTGATGACCAGAAAGTTCTATGTGTGGGTGTTAACCGCTCAGTCATGTCCGACTCTTTGTGACCCCATGGACTGTAGCCCGCCAGGCTCCTCTGTCCACGGGATTCTCCAGGCAAGAATACTGGAGTGGGTTGCCATTCCCTTCTCCAGAGGATCTTTCCGACCCAGGGATTCAATGTGGGTCTCCTGCATTGCAGGCAGATTCTTTACCATCTGAGCCACCAGGGAAGCCCAGGAAGAAACGAAAATATTGGCCATGTATTTTGTCTCTATGATCTGTGAATATTGAATCTTATCCCAGTCAACTGAAAAAGGAAACTTGCTTAACAACTACCAAATTCTCACTCAGAATTTCATAAGCAAAATTCTAGAACTCTATGTTTAAACAAAGGTCAGTCACTGATATAACAAAACATATGTAATCCAAATAAGATCCCTCAGATTAGATGTGTATGTGCATGTGTGTGTATGTGCGCACTCAGTCATGTCCAATTCTTGTGACCACATGGACTGTAGCCCACCAGGCTCCTCTGTCGACGGAATTTTCCAGGCTGGAATACTGGAGTGGGTTGCCATTTCCTTCTCCAGGGGATCTTCCCGACCCAGGGTCTGAACCCACATCTCTTGTGTCTCCTGCACTGGCAGGTGGATTCTTTACCACCTGGGAGCCCTCAGATTAGACAGTAAAATCTAATTTTAAATGAACACTGAGCAGCTAAAAATTTTAAATTAACAATATAAGGATTAAAATAGTCACGTATTTTATGTTCTTTCCAGTAACTGAAAAGTGGCCCAACTTGATAGCTAATGAGCAGGTGCTCATTTCTCACCCAGTTCTTCCTGAGCAGAAACATGTCCAGCTTAAGACAACTGGGAAGGAAAGGGGAGGTGGGAGCATTAAAAAAGCATTAAAAAACAAAGAAACTTGATACTGGTTTATGAGAAAATGTGTTTTTCACTGACATTGCCACCATTTTTCCTTCAACAAGGGCCAAAAAATAAAGGCTGCAGATTTAGTCTGAGGGGAAAAAAATTCAACAGCCTTCTTTCTATACTATCAAACCAATCATTTAACAGGGTCTAGTCTTTGCAATTTAAACTTTATGTCATCCGTAAACAACGTTATGAATCAGTAACACTCTTCTCTAAAAAATACACACACAAGAATAAATATTTCTCTTCTGAATAGCTTTTTTCTAATGCAAAAGAGCTTGAAAAGTAAAAAAAGTAAGATAACATATACATATGTTTTTATACTAAAGAATAGAGTTCTGTAATCCTGATCCAAATAAACCAATTGTTTTTTAAAAAAAAGATTTCTTAAAATAAGGATCAGTGAAATTAGAAAACTGACAATTGACTGTATTTAAGAAATCATTGCTAGTATTCCTTGGGTTTAATGACATTGTGTTTGTGCTTTATGTTGTGTTTCTGTGGCTTTTTCCCTCAAGTATTCACCTTTCAGATACACTTAAAGGATTTACACATGAAACGATTTTGAGAGCTGCTTTCAAATATCCAGCAGGTAGATGAAACAGGACCAGTCACGTGACAACAATGGCTGAAGCTGGGTAACTGGTACAGGAAGCTTTATTACACTCATCTCTCCATTTCTTGTGTAAGGCTGAAGAAAAAGTATCTCAGACACCAAAACATCCTGTCAAAAGCATAGAAATTTTTGCCCCACTAAATCACCCCAGAATTCTGCTTATTTTTTCTTATTTATCTGGCTACTCTTCAAACCAATTAACTTCTTCCAATAGACCTCTAACTGAAATACAAGACACTTGGTGTCTTTTTAACTCCATTCAACAGCTAGGTAAGGGCCAGATCAGAAAACGACCCAGGATTCCAAATGACAACGTATTCAAACTTCAAGAGCAAATATCCGTTTTGAATCAAAATGAACTATCACAGGTTGTTGTTTTTGTCTTTCGAATTCCTCTTACTACACCCAGTATTTGAACTAAGTCTGGTGAGTAGTTTACAAAGGTAAAAACATATGTTGTTCACTCCCAGGAAGTAAGCCCTCTCCATGAAGAGGGGAAAAGAACTCCACCGAATATGACACCCAGGAATGTTACAATAATCTCGGGGTACTCAACGCTACATACATCCTTAAGCTCTCTCGCCCCCAAAGCCTTTTTAAGTGGTTAGAAAAGAGCGACCCTGGTTGGTTTGTTTCATCTCCTCCTTTCTTAGGGGAGGTGCTAGCGAGTAAAGAAATGACCAAAAGGCCGGAAGAAGGAACACGAAAAGCATGGAGTCTGGACAATCAGCCCGTAAGTAATTGAAAGCTGAACCAAATTAAATGAAGTTAAGACAGAGCAACCTGCTACGCTCTTCGAGTTGTCTCTAACGTGCCTGAGAGGCTCCGAGAGTGAGAACACCTGGCTGGAGACACATCGCATTCCAAACGCTTCTCTCTCCAAGAATTCATAGGTACACAGGCATGAAAAAGAACTCTTCCAGACCTCCGCCAAAAGCAGCGCCGCAACAACTCCCACCAGCCCGTGCCACGGTGGCCAAGCGGCCCCCGGCTCCGTGAGGCCGCCCGAGCCCTGCCCCACGGGACCGCGAACCCCAAAACGACTCCGGGCTCCTCAAGCCGGAGACCTTCTCCCGAGCCGGGCGAGGGGACGGAGTCTCGGCTGGGAACCCGCTCGTCGCCGAGGCCCTCCTCGCCCGCCGGGAACTGGAGTCTCGGGCCCGCGCTGCCCACTCTGGGTCCCGGCCTGTGCCTCGCCGGGCCGCTCTCGAGCCTCGACCCGGGTCCGCCCCGCGCCCGCGGGACCCGTGCGACCCCCTGAGCCGCGCCGGCCGCCACCGTGAGGACCCGCCACTAGCTACCTGTCTTCGCTCTTGTTTTTCTGCTTCTTCCCCATCGTGTGTCAGCGGCGCTCGCAGCCCCAGCCCCTCTACTCGGTCCCTCACAGACCCGCTGTCCCTCGGCTGACTTCGGTCTCCGCTCGGCTCCGTCCCTCTCGCGCTGCCGCCTCTCGCACCCGGCTCTCCACAGACCCGCGCACTGGGACAGGGCACATATGGTGTGAGCTCCGAGTGCGCAAGCGCATCGCCCCGCCGCCTCGGCGTGGGGACGCAGGGCGCGGCTCATCGAGAGCTGCGCCGCGGGTAGAGCGTCTCTAGTTACCCGGCCCGTCAAGCGGGAACCCGAGCGCCCTCTTCCGTCAAGCGTCTGCGGCGCTCCGAGGTCCGCGGGGTTTCAAGATTCTAGAACCTAGGGGTGGACAATGAGGTTGAAAATTTCCCCCGTCCGCCCCTCTTCCTGCTGGGGGACGCAGAGTTGGGGAATTGGATCTCAGTTCAAAAGTAGATTTTGGGCTTCCCTTCCACCTGTAACCTCTGTCCCTTTGTACTCAGCTGCGTCAAGTTCAATAAAGAAGCACCGTGAACCACTGGTGAGCCGTCTGGGTGTTCCAAAGGGAGACAGAGAAATCCACAGTATTGAGCCTCGTAGTCATGTCCATAAATTACCGAAACAAATAAACAGAAACCATTCTTTTTAAAAGGACACACCCATTAATTCTCCTAAATAGATCATGATCTTTACATTCAAACCGAGAACAAGCTCTAAAAATTTATGTCAGGGAAGTCGCGAGAGAGCATACTAGGATTGTGAAAGTGTTTTATATCCGGATCTGGACAACGACACTATGTGTTAACTATGTAAAAACTTACACGTAAGTTATACTTTAATTGTTTTTTAAAGGTGGGAATTGTTCAATAAACCAAACGGAAACAAAATTGGAGTGCCACTCCCGAGCAGGAGCATAGCTATTCCCTTTCTGATGTAACGTGTGTCAGAACATAAGAACGTCAACTCCAGGCTGAGCACTAGGAAACTACAATCTCCAGCGTACTTCGCTCCCCCGCCCTCTGGGCTGTTCACTGGGAGGGAGGGAGAGATTCATACGCCAAGAGTTCGGAACGCCGGAGCGCAGGAAAGGTGCAGAAGGGCGCACGCGCAGAACCGCTCGCCGCGCGCACTTCCCTCCCCCCTCCCCCGCACTACCTCCACTTCCTGGGACGTCGCAGATACTATCGCGTGAGATCTGCGGCCAATGAGGAGGCAGAAGTGACGGCCGCTTCGCAGCTACCCGCAGCTGCTTGGAGGCCGAACTGAGAGAGGATTGCTCTTCTGGAGAAGCTGGGTCTTCGTATCTCAGGTGTCGCCGAGAGCTCAGGTGAGGCAGAGGGTGGTGTGAAAACACCGGCCATGCATCCTGGTACTAACGGACACCCGACCGCTCAGCATCCTGCCTGGTCGGGGGAGGGGCGCGGCTCGGGCCCCGGAGTCCCCGCCACGGAGTAGGCTTTGGCGCATGCGCCCGGGGAGGCTTTGAAGCTGGGGCCACCTCGCCTCTGCCCTCGTCTGTCCCCGGGGGCGCGGCGAGTGGCGAGGGTACTTTTGGGAAGCGACTGGCGTGCGGTTAACGGTGAGGCCCCCTGCTTGTTTTGGCGGGTGCACGCAGGGGAATCGCGGAAATGGTTAGGTAACTTGAGGACACGTCCCTGCCCACCATTCAGTTAAACTGAAAAAAGAATCAGAAGCTTGTGGTTTGGAAAATGAAGTTATCTCTGCACCATCTCCTTTCCCCCTTTGTGAAGGCGATGACCAGCACAACCTGCCCCCCACAACAGCTCTTGTTAATCGCTTCTCCCAGTTATCTCAGAATTAAATTCTGAGTTCAGCCTCTAAAACTCCAGGGACAAGCATCTGCTACGCCCCTTGTAAAGAACAAGGTCTGACAAGCAAGTCAGTGTTTAACAAATACTTTTCTGTCTCATCCGGCCCCGATCCTGAGAGTCATAGCCTTAAATTTTTCTTGAGAAGTAGGGAGTGTGAAATTCATTTCCTGTATTTGAAATACAGCTCCTTTAAAATTTTATCGCATATGAGGAACTTACATTTTGGTTTTTAAAACCGAGAAATACTTTTTGAACAATAGCTAGACACATGCTACTTCAGCCGTTGACAAATATTTTTTGTGCATCTGCAGTGTCCCGAACACTGCGAGCTCCAGGAATACAAAGATAAAATCCAGTGTGCTTTTCGACTGCTTTTCATGTGGGGGGAAAAAGTGGAATCAGAGGCGAATTTTGCAGAAAGACTATTTCAATTCAGTTCAACAGCTAATAGGGGGTCTGGTGGGCCAGGCTGTGTGTCAGAAGCTGGGCAAATGAGCTCACAAGTTTATCCAGATTTTTAAAAAGTGCTTCAGTAGTAGTTGAAAACATATCATAGTTGAGATCAACAGTCTCCTGCTTTGACAGAAAAATTATAAATTTCTGTGGTAATAACCTAGGAGTACACATAAAATCACCATCTAATTGTTGCTGGTAGAAAATAATTTCTTTTAAAATATGCAGTTGAAGTAGATAACCAACAAAGACATACTGTATAGCACAGGAAACTCTACTCAGTAATCTGTAATAACTTAAATGGGAAAGGAATTTGAAAAAGGTAATTGAGTATGTATAAATTAATCACTTTGCTATATACCTGAAACTGACACATTGTAAATCAACTATATGCCAACATAAAATAAAAATTGTAAATAAATAGACTAAGTCATTGAGATCTGCCTTTCTAATCTGAATTAGAGTCTATTTTTAAACTCCTGTCTTACATAGAGGAGTGATGGTAAAATCAATATACTTTTAATATTTGGAGTGTTATGTTGTTTGACATCAAAGTTACAAGCACTGAGTGTCCCTAAATCAATACTAGTGTCAATCTTTGTGGGCTTATAGACTATTAGTTACTGAGAGAACAGAATTGGAAACTAGAGCTTAGGAAACACCAGGCAGAGTTCTTTACACAAGTTGTAATGAGCTCTCTTCAGAGTTAAAACAATTTAGGCAGAGATGGAAAATAATGTCTTTTGCTCAAATCTGTTCTATCTTGAAGCAAAATTTGGTGTGTGTACACATATGTGTAAAACCTTGCTACAGTTAAAAACTATCATGTTTGCAGTCATTTCTGCTTTGCTTCCCTTTTCCTTTGGTAAAGAATACTGTCAGTATACAACACTAGGTTTAGTTTCAACTCATTTCTTTCTGGTCTGGAGATAATCTTAAAGATTTGTCTTTGCTTTAGAATAGTAAACAAACAAAGTCAAAAGCACTCTAACCTTTGGTCTAAATTATTTTTGACTAGTGTGACTTCCCAGGTGGTAAAGAACCCACCTGCCAATGCAGGAGACATAAGAGACAAGGGTTTGATCCCTGGGTCAGGAAGATCCCATAGAGGAGGACATGGCAACCCACTCCAGTATTCTTGCCTGGAGAATCCCATGGACAGAGAAGCTTGGCAGGCTCCAGTCCATAGGGTTGCAACAAGTCAGACACAACTGAAGCAACTTAACACACAAGAGTGACTATAACCTGTTGAAAATTAAATTTTAAAACATTTAAGTAAAAATTCTTAACATTACATGGTTGGTTGTCAGCAGAACACTTTGTGAACTCCAAGTTATATATTTGCTAGCATTTTGGGAACTAAGAGAAAAGTTTCCTGTCTTATTTTTTTCTCCAACTTTGTAACCCTTCTCCCCAGCGTCAAGGCTGAACCATATCATTTAGAAGAATGGAAGCGAATGCATCTGTTGACATGTTTTCAAAAGTCCTAGAGAATCAGTTGCTTCAAACCACCAAACTAGTGGAAGAACATTTGGATTCGGAAATTCAGAAACTAGATCAGATGGATGAGGATGAATTGGAACGCCTCAAAGAAAAGAGACTCGAGGCTCTGAAGAAAGCTCAACAGCAGAAACAAGTAACCTCTCTGCCCTGCTTTCTGAAATTGCTCTCACAGTATGCTTCTAACCACTTCTATATACACGTGCCGCAGTAGTCACATTTCAGTCCTCAGTCTTTAGGGTTGTTTGGCCTCAAAAGTACCTAATGCCAGTGAAAATTTTCCCTGGGGGAAAAGATAGTTTTTAAAGACACATTCCGAGTTAGCCTGCTCAGTGTTAATTGACAGTCAAATACAAGAAACACCTGGCCCAGGATAATTTTCTGAGCTCAGATTTGTGTAGTTGAGGAGAGTATGGATGAGGAAGAACACTGGGAGAAACAGGGATCTGCAGGTTCCCTTTCAGGTAGAGTTAGGAGAAAGCCCATCATGATTTGTCTGTGCTCAAAGGAAGCCTGTCACTAAGGAGTTTAAACTCTCTGGGAGCTTTATCACAGAAATACGGTGAAAATACCGGGGCCTCCTGTAGCTCCGCGTAAGCCAACGTGAAGCAGATGCCTAAACTAGGGGTGCAGTCTGCGCTCCTGCCCCTTTCTAGAGTGCGTTCAGAGGATGAGGACGTCTAAAAGTCATTTCATATGAGAAAGTCAAAAGCAAACAGAAGTGTTCCCTGTAGAAGAGGACAGACATAAGCATCATGTGATATTTGAAGGGCTGACCTGAAAGATAGATTAGAACTTCTCTCATTTGAGGTCCAGGCTGGGATCCACAGACGAGAGGTCAGGATATATTGCAGTCAGCGGGAGAAGACTTTTCTGAGAACTAGAGAATACATGTATTAATGCTTTTCAGGCATGTGTGATGTGCCAGCCACTCTTATTTTCATGTTGTCTTGTCACAGTAGCTCAGTGAGATAATTGTTTTATGATCTCTACATTACAAATGAGGAATGTGAGACTCAGGAGGAATGTGAGACTCAGAAGGGTTATGAGAATTCACAGCCTAATGAGTGGTAGAGCAGTGATTCAAGTCCTTCTGTCTGCAAGTCCAGTCCTCCTTTTTATTAAAACCAAGTCTTGAGAAGGGCAAAGAAATAGAGAAGAAAAAAAAAAAAGGTTAAATGACAGTAGAAGTCTTGAGAAAGGAAACAAGTTTCCACCTGAGGCAGTCAGCTACCTGCCACGGGAAAGGTAGAAGAAACTGAAATACCTGTCCAACATGGATGATGAGGATCGAGACAGTGATCTGGAGAATTGGATTAGATGGACTTGTGGGTCCCTTTTTCTGGATACCACGTGAGAAAACTCCTTTTTCTTCACTGGATACTATCCGTGGGTGGCCGGACTAGAAGAGTGCTGTCTCTGAGGTGGTCATCAAAAGTACACAGGACTCCTCAGCTTCAGAGCTGCAGTACCTGCCCCCTCCCCAAATACCAATTGGCTTTATCTCACAGCTGTTCTTTTTTAAAGCTTTGTAGTAACTTGGATCAGATTCTTTTTATTTTAGTAGTTTTAAGTGCAAAGAAATTAAGTAGATGTTTACATTCTCAATCTTTATGGTCTAAATTTTTATTTTCAAAATTCTAAGAAAACGTGTTTCAAGTTACAAAGACAAGATAATTACAAGCCATGCTGTGGAGATAGTCGTGGCCCACAGACTATTTCTGCATTGACACTAGAAAGATAGGAAAGTACATTACCAAGAAGAATTCATTTCTAAGATAAAATCGACTTAATTACAAAATAATTTAGTGATTTGGATATAAGATGTAAAGTGACATTGAAAGAGATTTCAAATGTGTGATATTTCTCTTTTCAAATTAGGAATGGCTTTCAAAAGGACATGGGGAATACAGAGAAATCCCTAGTGAAAGAGACTTTTTTCAAGAAGTCAAGGAGAGTAAAAAAGTGGTTTGCCATTTCTACAGAGACTCCACATTCAGGTAACTTGGTTTCCCCTCAGTGACTGTTTTTAAACATGAAGAGATTGTTGAATAGGTACCCTGACTTAATAGAGAAATTAAGAATAATGTGAAAGGAACTAATTCCTTAGTTGTCCCTTTGTACTGGAAGTCTGTATATTAAAATTAAGCAGTCATCAAAGATGAACTTAAAAACCAGTGACATAAAAAAGTATAAATTATTGGATTTCAGTATTTTCATAGAAGTGGCTATTTTCTGAATGATATTTTCGCTAGGTAATTTTAGAAACATCTTAGCAATGAGCACTTAAATTTTTTTTTTAAAGTATCAATTCCAAGAGTTCTGCTTTTGTCCCTACTATTACAATACAGCCACAGTGTTGGAAATGCGGCCAACACCTGAACACCAAGTTTGAATTCAGTCAGTTCTTAACTGGCAATTCACAGGGAGACGATGGCTTGATGAGGCCTTTCTCCGGGAGCAGAGTTGGAACTTCAGGTTTGGCTGGAAGATGGAGAAAATAATTTCTCTTAGACGAGCCCAGGTCTGCCAGCCTCTCTTTGGAGGCAGATCCCTCACAGTAAAAATAGCCCCAGTAGAGGTTATATCTTAAACAAGATGGCTCAAGCCTGTTTTTTTTTTTCCTTAGCTCCAAAGTTTGAATAGTTGCTAACATCAGATGATGTGATAACAGACCTAGAGTTGTATGAAAGCAGTTTGCTGATGCTGAGTAGCTCCTGTGGAAACTCACACTCCACCCAGAGTCTCCCCTAGCCCTGCCCTCTTCTCTCATCTCCATAGTCTGCCTGGCACCTGTCTTTGCCTCTTCACCCAACAACGTGGTTATTAATGCCTGGGATTTATTAACTAATAGAATACAAATGAAAGAAAATAAAGTCAAGGTTGAATGAATTGATATAAATATAGACAGGTAGATATCAAAGTTTTTAGCATGTGGTAATGCTAGATGCTTCAGGCGGTATAAGATCCTGGAACATTCACAATCTCCCTTTGAGGTAAGCACTTTATAATCCCCATACTTTTTTGTGTGTGGACACCAAGACTTGGAGAAATTAAGTGACCTGCCTGATGTCACTCAGTTGCTAAATGATAAAAGCAGATTTGAGCCCAGCTTAATGCTATTTTAACTGCATCATGACTGCTACCTCTGGGTTTAAATTGGATTTAAAATTCAATTAAAAAATGGATTAATTGGCCAATGGGACATATTTAAAATAGATTCCACATTATTCCAGTAAAACCGTGGAGTTGATTGATGTAGAAATCCTCAAGAACGTATTTCTCCAAATGATCTGTCACTGCTTTGGAGTTTCATTCAGAAACCACTTATTCTCTCCTGACAGTTTTCACTATTAATAAAATCCCATTGCTGCACTGCATGAGTGATATATAAAAAGAATCACTCAGAGGTGGTGAGACATCAAGGTTATAAGAAACTCAGTGGACCCGAACTTAACTCAGGAAAAACTACCAAGAAGTACCCCAAAAACCTGCTGGTAAAATCAGCTATGATTTTGGTGTCTTAATTTGGTGTCTTAATCATCGAAAGCAGAGTAGTTACCAAACTTCACTGAGCATGAGAATCACTTGCATGTTTCTCAGCTCAAGTCCCAGAGAATTTTGATTCATCTGTATGTTTTAAAAGTTGATTGTACTAATCACCTCTGGGTAAGAACAACTGCTCAACTATAAGTGTATCTCTCAGATACACTAAAGGGTTGGCCAGTTTAAAGTATAATTTAAAGAAAAGACCACTTTTCCTTTGCAGGTGGCTTAATAAAAATACTGCTGGAATTTTGCCCTTCTTTAGGACCATAGTGACCATATATTTGTACCCTTAACCTTGACAGACTTCACACTAACAGAATTTGTATGGTTGGAAAGGTTCCTTCTCAGTGACACATTTGGTCTTTCTTAGTGACTTCCAAGTACACTACCACCTGTACATTTCTAATTCTGAGAGGTGTCTTCTAAGCTCTGTCAAGTTCAGGTTTGTCTCTTTCTATGAAATGGCAGGAAATATGCATAAGGAAAATGACTATTTTTTATTCTTAACCATGAACATGACAGCTTTGTGAGCCACTTAAGACTTAAGTCATATGTTGAATACTTTGTTCTTTATATTTATCATTAAGGCAGATCCAACCTTCTAGACTGCAGTATCATAAGAGGTAGAAAAAGAGGTACCTAACCCATGAAATGGGAATAAGGTTATCTGATAGATATATAGGTTGACTGGCAGATTATGAGATTCAGAAAAAGTAAAAACTAAGATGTGCCTTAATATTTATTTTGATAAAGAAATTGTCATTTCTAGCTTTTGGTTTTCAATGTGTTGTTATTTACAGGTGTAAAATACTAGACAGACATTTGGTGATATTGTCCAAGAAACATCTTGAGACCAAATTTTTGAAACTGAATGTGGAAAAAGCACCTTTCCTTTGTGAGAGACTGCGTATCAAAGTCATTCCCACACTAGCACTGGTGAAAGATGGCAAAACACAGGATTTTGTTGTTGGATTTTCTGACCTAGGAAATACAGATGACTTCACCACAGAAACCTTGGAGTGGAGGCTGGGTTGTGCTGATATCCTTAATTACAGGTAACCTTCAGCAAACCATCAGTTTGTTTTAACTGCCATATTCAGTTGAAGTTTTTAGATAATTTTTTAATGTTAATATTTATTTTATGGAAATATTTCTATAAGCTTTATCTTGAAGCTGGAGATGAAGAAAAACTGCCACACAGGAAAAGCGTATTTCTTAAAGTGTACCTTAGTATGATCTTACAGCAAAATCAGAGTTCCAAATAAAGTTGATCTTGGGTTCTAGAGTCCACCTAACTCTAAAAGTTTTCAAACAGATCCTATGAAATCTAATTCGGTATTCATCTGGAAACCCAGGATGACACTCCGGAAGAATTGACTCCTTCCTGCTTGAACCCAGATTACTCAAATTGATAATGACTTATTTTCAAACATTAGATTTTTAATGTAGTTATTCCTGTATCACTTGTCGACTCTGATAAACTATATCACATCTCATTTCTATGTTTAGCTTAAATTACTTACCTATAAAGAACAGTCTCAGTAGAAAATGATCTAAAATCCAGCTTCCATTTTCCACTCATCTCTTTGTGCACTTCTCCAGGCAGTTTATCTAATTTCACAGATTAGAGCACATCATCTTATGTATCTGTTTTTTATTTGCAAAAATAATAGGGTAAATTTTCTAGTTATTCCAGAGTATCTCTCAATAAGAAAATTCCCTCATCTTTTTATTTTCCTTCCTCCTTTTTCTCTGAATATCTCCTACATGTGTATAAGTCATTCCTATATTGTAGAAATTGATTTTGAAGTTCCAGGTTTTTTTTTCTTAAGTAAAATGTTAATATTAAATCGTGATTTCCAATTTTAAAGAAGTTGGAAACTAGTACAAAGAATTCTCATATATCATTCACCTGTATCCCCCAATTTTCAATATTTTATATTTGCTTTATCATTCTGTTTCTGGGTATATATAAACTTTTTTCAGAACCATGACTGGATATTATAGATGTATTGTCCCTTTCTTCCTAAATATTTCTGTTTGCATTTCCTAAGAACAAGGACATTCTTATACACCCACAGTAAAATTATTAAAACACAAAAATACATAGTTTACAGACCTTATTCAGAGTCCATCATTGTCCCAATAATATCCTCCATACTGAAGAAATGAGTCACAAGTATTTACTGTGAATTTTTAGTTCCCTTTAACCTGTAGCAACTTGTTCCCCTTGTTTTCCAATAGTTTAACACTTTTGACGAGAACAAACTAGTTATTTCATAGAGCATCTCCCAGTTTGGGTTCATCTAATGTTTCACAATTAGATTCAGGTTTTGCATATTTTCCACAGGTGTAATATGGAAGTGATGTTTTCTTCTTTCTCATTTTACCATATCAGGAGACATAGGGTGGTTTGTCACATTACTGGCAGTATTATCTGAGCACTGGCTAATCAGTTGTCTACCAGGCCAACTGGTAATTTAAGGAAGACCTTTTCCAGACCCCACATTAGTTTACTTTTTCATTTATTTGTATTAGAATGGGCTATGGATTATTTTGTTCAATGGGATATATTATTGAATATTACTGTTATTATTTACTTTGAAGCTCAGATTGCCTCACGTTTGCCCAGTGAGAGCCTTGCATACTGACTTCTGTGTGTTCTTGACATGTCCCCATAATCCTTTGAGCACTTTCTTTCTGGTGCAGATAAGATCTTTTAGGGGAACCTGTGTTGTACTCTCCATAGGAATTGACTTTATCTCCGAGAAGCCATGAATCCCTTCAGTGACAAATGATATTTCAAAACCAAGATCTTATTTTTCAGGTATCATGAAAAGCTTTCCATAGTAATTCAGGGTTAATGATAATGAGTTCCATGAGTTTGTTGTCTATAGTGATCTAAACATTAAAAGATGTTAAATAGGATCAAACTGGCCGTAACAGGCTATCGAAAATAGAGCACGATTTTCCTGTCATTCTCACAGGGATAGGAATCTAATACAGATTCGGCATACCCAAAACATGAAAATAACTGATTTCCTCCTGTGGTTTTCAATCAGAGATTTTGTTGGTACATTCCATGAAATGCTAATCAGTAATTAACGATAAGAAAATAAAATGCTAGTCAAAAGCATTTAGTAGTACAAAGTAAGGTGTAAAACTGCTAATTATCATTATCAACTATTAACTATCAGTATTAATTTTCAGTACCTCTTCCTCAACACCAGCATTATAAAGAAAATTTTACTCTATTCCATGTGTTACAGTGAAGATAGATTTTTGTGTGGTTTAGTATACCAGCTATACTAAATCATAGAGAATTAAGTGTTTTTCAAATTTGTTTCTTTTTAGTGGAAATTTAATGGAGCCACCATTTCAGAGCCAAAAGAAATTTGGAACAAACTTCACAAAGCTGGAAAAGAAAACTATTCGAGGAAAGAAATATGATTCAGACTCTGATGATGATTAGAAATCAGTTATAATTCTTTGTAAATCGTCTTTTTATTTCTCCTTACTTCACAATTAGATGTGTTTTCTAAACTCCATTGATTTCAGTATGTTCATCTCCTGATGGTCACATTCTAGAGTTTTATGCAGTGGCATCATGTTGAAAAGCATCTTTAATATTTTCTATGTGGAGCTTGTGTTTAAGTAGAGGAAAACGCCTTGAGTTCTAAAATAATCTGAGGAGAGTCCGGATTCTCTATTTTTGAGATTGGTTTTATCACAATGATTCTTACGTTTTTATACCATTCACAATTGTGTTTTTAATCTACTGAATTGAAAATAGAAATTCAGCACACTATTCCAGGACTAATTCTTACGCAGCATTATTTACTTTATAAAGAAGTCAAGTAACATTTACTGGTGTAACAGCACTTGTAAATGAATTAGAAACACTCATCACTTCTGGAATATATTTAAGATAATTATTAAAGAACTGTTTATTTATTCTGTAAGCTGCATGGTGTTGTTGAACCAGCGGATGGCATCAGGAAGCTTTTTCAGGTTGTGAACATACTGTCTTATTTAAAGGTCCTGATTGCTTATATTTTAAGACATGCATTAAACAGGCAAGAAGCACTTTGGGAATGGCAGCATGATCTACAGTGAAACAACCATAACTGGTAAATTTTTTTCTAAAAATTAAAGTCTCTGGGAATTGTCATAAGAGCATACAGCAAACAAAAAACACTTACTCAAGAAAATACTCAGTCTTGGCAAGAATAGTGAGTCTCTGTGGTACTTGAACCATGATCCTGCTAAAACTCACACAAGAAATAGACAATCTGAATAGACCTATTTTATATAATCAACAGCTACTAGCTTTCTAAAACAAAAAGCACCAGACCCACGTGGGTTCACCGGTGAATTCTAGCAAACATTAATTAATGAAGAGGTTTTATTAATTCGCTACAGTCTGTTTCAAAAGATGGAAGCAGAATGAGTTAGGTCTCATTCCTAACTCCTGAGACCAGCTTTACTCTAATGCCAAAAACAAAGACATTATGGAAAAACTACAGACCAGTATCTGTCTTGAACAGAAGCAAAGATCCTTAAAATATTAGCGAATCAGTCCAAACAGTATATAAAAAACAACCAGGCACCACAACCAAGTGAGATTTATCCCAGGTATGCAAAGCTGTTTCAATACTTGAAAAATCAATGTAATCACAGTCTAAAGAATTAGAATCATATAACCTTATCAGTAGAGAAAGCATTTGACAAAATCCAATACCACTCATGATTAAAAACTCAGTAAACAATAAAGGGAATTTCCTCAACTTGATTTTTAAAAAATATCTACAAAAACCTACAACTAATATACCTACAGCTAATATCACACCTAATGGGAGAGGTTTGAAGTTTTCCAGTTGAGGTCACACACAAGGCAGATTGTCTTTCCCAGCTCATCCCTGCTTTTCAGTATCATACTGGAACTCTTAGCTAATACAAAAAGGAAAGAAAAAATATATGTGCAGATTGAAAAGGAAGAAGTAAACTTGTGTTAGTTTGTAAATGACATAATTATGTATTAATAGAAAGTCCAGCATAATTTACAAAAACAAGCACACAACCCTCCTGGAACTAATGAAAGATACAACAAAGTTGCAGAATACAAGGTTAATGTACAAAAGTCTATTGTCTTCCTATACCAGCAGCAATGAACAACTGAAATTTTAAATTAAAAGATGCTACCATTTACATTAGTTCTAAAGACGCTTGCTCCTTGGAAGGAAAGTTATGACCAACCTAGACAGCATATTAAAAAGCAGAGACGTTACTCTGCCAACAAAGGTCCATCTGGTCAGGGCTATGGTTTTTCCAGTAGTCATGTATGGATGTGAGAGTTGGACTGTGAAGAAAACTGAGCACCACAGAATTGATGCTTTTAAATGTGGTGTTGGAGAAGACTCTTGAGAGTCCCTTGGACTGCAAGGAGATCCAACCAGTCCATCCTAAAGGAGATCAGTCCTGGGTGTTCATTGGAAGGACTGATGCTGAAGCTGAAACTCCAATACTTTGGCCACCTGATTCGGAGAGCTGACCCTGAAAAGACCCTGAAGCTGGGAAAGATTGAAGGCAGGAGAAGGGGACAAGAGAGGATGAGATGGATGGCATCGCCGACTCGATGGACATGGGTTTGGATGGACTCCGGGAGTTGGTGGTGGACAGGGAGGCCTGGTGTGCTGCAGTTCATGGGGTCGCAAGGAGTTGGACATGACTGAACTGACTGAAATGAAATGGACATAAGATATGTATAAGACTTGAGGAAAAACAACAAAACAGATGAAAGATATTAAGGAATAAGTGGAGATACAGTCCATGTTCAGGGATAGGGTGACTCAGTATTTAAGATGTCAGTTAATTATTACAGTCAACTTGATTCACAGGTTCATAAATTTAATTCATAGATTCAACACAATCCCAGTCAAAATCCCTGAAACATTTTATGGATACTGACAAACATTTTCAAGTTTATATGAAAAAGAAAAAGGCTCAGAAGAGCCAACACAGTATGGAAGGAGAACAACAAAGTTGGAAGACTGACATTACCCAACTTTAAGACTTAAAATAAAAGATCATCATATCTTTTTATCATACCTTTTAAAAAGCACTTTTTAAAACATGAGCACTAATTAGAAATACATCTGGAACTTCAGAGAAAAAAAGCAATACCTGGGCATTTATGTTTTTCAAAAACCTCCAACATAATTCTGGTAAATCTTACCTAGTTTGTTTCACTTCTATTTCATATTCAGTGTTCTCATTTCATTTAGTTTATGTTTTCCAATTTCTCCATCTTTTTTTCCTCCTTGTTTATCAAATGTAGTAAAAGAGCTTTTCTATACACATATATAAATAGTAGGTATAATGTAACATGGGCAAATACATGAGGAAACAATGACAGACATTATTTTCTTGGGCTCCAAAATCACTGCTGATGGTGACTGCAGCCATGAAATTAAAAGACACTTGCTCCTTGGAAGAAAAGCTATGACAAACCTAAAGTGAAAGTCACTATGTCGTGTCCGACTCTGACCGCATGGACTATACAGTCCATGGAATTCTCCAGGCCAGAATACTGGAGTGGATATCCTTTCCCTTCTCCGGGAAAATCCTCCCAGCCCAGGGATCAAACACAGGTCTTCCGCATTGCAGGCAGATTTTTTACCAGCTGAGACACAAGGGAAGCTTGTGAATCACAAAGGAAGCCCATGACAAACCTAGACAGCTTATTAAAATAGACATTACTTTACCAACAAATGTTCATGTAGTCAAAGCTATGGTTTCTCCAGTAGGCATGTGTGATTGTTGGACTATAAAGAAAGCTGAGCACCAAAGAATTGGTGCTTTTGAACTATGGTGCTGGAGAAGACTCCAGAGAATCCCTTGGACTGCAAGGAGATCAAGCCAGTCAATCCTAAAGGAAATCAACCCTGAATATTCATTGAAAGGACTGATGCTGAAGCGCCAATACTTGGACCACCTGATGCAAAGGGCTGACTCATTGGAAAAGACCCTGATGCTGGGAAAGATTGAAGGCAAGAGAAGAGGATGACAGTGGATGAGATGATTGGATGGCATCACTGACTCTATGGACATGAGTTTGAGCAAGCTGTGGGAATTGGTCATGGACAGAGAAGTCTGGCATGCTGCAGTCCATGGGATCGCAAGGAACTAGACACAACTGAACTGATAATGTAATATATATTTTAGAAAAGAATTTTTGCCTAAGTAAAAAATTTATGGCATTGTGATTCCACTTGTTTGACTTAGGATGAATAAAATGCTAGATTTCTAATTTATATTCACTCAAAGCTTTTAATATACTTCTGTGTATTTTGGCATCTGGTATTACTGCTAAAAGTCTAGAAATTTTATTACCTTAATGATTTTCAAAAAGAATTTGATGCTTGACCCTTCTAATCCAATTCTGAGAATATAAAGAAATAATATGTTGCAAAAAGAAAAAAAAACCAGGAAATTAATGTGATACAGTATTAATGAAAGTACATATTTTCTTTGCATTTCACACACAAAAAGACATGGATAATGAAGCCATGAAATTAAAAGATGCTTACTCCTTGGAAGAAAAGTTATGACAAACCTAGATGGAATATTAAAAGCAGAGACATCACTTTGCTGGAAAAGATCTGTATAGTGAAAGCTATGGGTTTTCCAGTAGCAGTGTATGGAGATGAGAGTTGGGCCATAAAGAAGGCTGAGCACTGAATAGATGCTTTCAAACTGTGGTGCTGGAGAAAACTCTTTGAGAGTCACTTGGATAGCAAGGAGATCAAACAAGTCAATCCTAAAGGAAATCAACCCTGAATACTCATTGGAAGGACTGACACTGAAGCTCCAATACTTTGGCCACCTGATGCAAAGAGCTGGCTCATTGGAAAAGACCCTAATACAGGGAAAGATTGAGGGCAGGAGGAGAAGGGGCTGGCAAAGGATGGGATGGTTGGATGGCATTACTGACTCATTGTACATGAATTTGAGCAAACTCCAGGAGTTAGTAAGGGACAGGGAAGCCTGGCATGCTGCAGTCCATGGAGTCACAAGGAGTCGGACATGACTTAGTGACTGATCAACAACAACAGTGACAGTGTAGTGTTGGCAGAAGAGTGGACAAATAGCATAGAGAGCCCAGATACAAACCCATATTGTATATATAGTCAGCTGATCTTCGACAGAAAAGCAGAGGCAAGCAAAGATAACCTTTTCAACAATGGTGCTACAACAACTAGACCTTCACATGCCCTCCTCACAAAAAAGAATTCAGACAAATTTTATGCCATTCACAAACATTAACTCAAAATAGATTTTAGAACTAAGTGTAAAAGCACAAAACTCAAATTCCTAGCAGATAACTTAGGAGAAAACCTAGATGATCTTGGGTATGTATGGTGATGACTTTTTAGATGCAACACCAAAGGCAAAATCCCTGAATGAAAGGATGGCTAAGATGGACTTTATTAAATAAAAATTTGTGCTCTGTGAAAACAAATGTGAAGAAAATAAGAAGACAAGTCATAGAGGAAATACTTGCAAAGTATAATAAAAGACTCCTGAAATATAAAAAGAACTCTTGAAACTTAACAACAACAACCCATAAGAAAACAACTCAAAGGATTGGCCAAATACCTGAACAGACACTTCACCCAAGAATATATGCAGAAGATAAAGAAGTACATGAAGATATGCCCCACATTGTATGTCATTAGGGGAATGCAAGTTAAAACAATGAGATACCACTACACACCAATTAGAATGACCAAAGACGCAAACCACAGCACCCAATGCTGGTATGGGTGCAGAGCGAGAGGAACTCTCATTCATTGCTGGTAATAATGGTACAGTCACCTTGGAAGACAGTTAGGCAGTTTCTTACTTACAAAACACTCTTACCAGATGATCCAGAAATTGCACTCCTGATATCTACCTAAAT